AAAAAAACCAGGAAGAACAGAGAAGGAGATGAGTCCAACAGGGTAAGACCCTAAAGGGCCTTTTGTGAGAGGTGTGGACTTGAATAATGTATGAAGTACACACCATTTACTAGGCACTGAGGTTGCTTTTTTTCATTTATTGATAACCCCCACATGCCTGGTCCTGACCACAGCTGAAAAATATCCCTGCCCCAATGCTCTTTGAGCATCTGTAAACTGATACTTGCACTCTACCTCACTGTAGGTTGGTGCTGCTCTTGGTCCTCCCAGGATGAGGCAGTCATGGCCAGTCAAATAAAACTCTTCGCCACCTTTGTCTGTATTCCCATAGATTTTCTTGACTTCAAGGGGCATTACAAGGTTATCTAACTTAATCCTCACAATTACTCCATGAGAGAGGCATTATTATTATTCCCATTCCTATTTTATACATGAGAAAACACATCTGTAGATTAGAAATAATGCAAATAAAACACAACTCAGGGCTGGGAAGGTGGCTCAGTGGTAGAGCGCTTGTCTTGCATGCATGAGGCCCTGGGTTCTATTCCTCAGCACCACATAAGCAAAAAGAAAAAAAAAGCCAGAAGTGGCACTGTGGCTCAAGTGGTAGAGCGCTAGCCTTGAGCTGAAGAGCTGAGGGACAAGGGACAGCTCCCAGGCCCAGACTTCAGGCCCCACAACTGGACCCCCAAAAAAACAAAAACAAAACAAAACAAAACAAAAACACAACTCAAAGTGCCTGAACTGGTGAAGCAATGAGTTACAGACTGAAGAAATATCTGACTAGAAATACTGAAGACTATCAAGACCAACTCAGAGAAAAGAAGACTTAATAAAATAATCTCCAAACTTGCACCTCATAAATTTGTAAATACATTTAAAAATTGATCGAAGAATAAAGTTTTCTTGCCAACATTTACATCTGGCAAAAAATGACCCACAGAAAGTGAACTCTGAAATAAAATGAAATGTTAAGAATGGGAGAAGGAAGCTTATAAAACATAACACAGGAAAGCTAATTGACAAAATTTTACAACAATATTCAGAAAAAAGTGTTTATTCTAACAAAATAATTCCATAATGCACAAAATAGATGCTTAAAATTTATAAAGCATTTAATTGTGTTCTATTTAACATTGACTATGGATTGAAATTGGCTTAAGGTCATTTACCCTAGAAGAATGAAATACATGCATATATTTCCAGATAATGTTAGTATTTTTGATAAACACATTGGAATTCATGAACAATACACTGGTTCCATTTCTTGGGGCAAAAAACACTCCTTCCTTGACTTCTGTTGCCATAGAGGCAGAAGGAGGTCATTTTAGAGGATGAGAGAGGGCATGGGCAGGTTTCAGCTGCAGGTATTTGAGGAGAAGAAGCATGGGAAGCCAGGAGTTTCAACACTTAAGAAAGCTTCATGAAAGCTCTTATTTGCAAACTAGAGCCATGAGTCTGGGCCATGTCTCCACTGGCACCCACAGCTCTCTCTAATTGATAGTGGTTACTAGAGTTCAGTGACTCCTCAACTTCAGTTGACGATTAGGGTGAGCGAGTCCTTTCAAAATGACAAGTGACAGCTGTTAGAAATATGCCTTTTCCAAATTTTCCACCTTGAGAAGGATGGTTAGAGATAGTAGCTTCTCAAGGGGCATGTGAGATACCGAGTTTCTTGATGTAGTCCTAATTTTTCTTGGACATGTCACCTATAGAAGATTATTTTAAAATCTCCTATAGGTATCCCAAGTATTGTTAGAAGTTTATAGACTGTATATTTAATATAGTCATTAGATATGAAAATTGCAAAAAATAGCAAGCCAAAGCCATTAGTTTCCAGAGTACTTACATATTACTTAAAACAAACATGAAATACTCTGTTTCATTTTGTGTTCAAGTTGATAACTTCCATATAGTATTTTTTTCAATTTTATATTTGTTTATGAAGGTTGTTTATGAAGAACGTTAAACTACCAAAATGGGTTGAAATATGAAGCAGACTTCTTTGGAAAGCTATGTACATAGAGTATGATGCTTTTAGAAGACACTCGTTAATTTATTCTTTGCTTTAAGAGACTGGTCTGGACGCTTACTGCACAAGAGTCTGGGCTAGGTGCTATGTGGACGGATGTGAAAGGGCACAATCCTGCTCTTGAGGAAATTACAGAGTTGTAGGGCTTTTCAAGATACCCTATAATAAGTGAGCTAGCAGTGATTTCTAGTGGGAAGCATAGCAAATACTTTTTGCATTGAGTGTTAGTTTAGTCGTCTTTGCAAAAGCTTCTTTCTTTTCATAATAAGCGGCCTCATTCACAAATACAGGGTACACAGTACAGTCTCCGCCCAGTGGAATAGTCTTTCCATCAATAGTCACAAACACAGGATCTCCAGGGTGCAATGGTTTCCAGTCTTGATCCTCTCAGGAGACAATTAAGATAAATTACCTTTGGCTTTCTTCCTACTTAAAAATTTTCTGTCAGACTCTACTACAAAGCTAGCATATAGCTATGTATCCTCATATTACATGTGGTGTTAGCTGGAACGTTTTGCACCATGATTTGGCCATTGTACACCAATGTCATAAGACCACAGGATCTCCAGAACAATTGTTCTCCTACTTGGGTGTGCATGCAAATCGCCTGGAAGATTAAAATGCAGATTCTGACTCTATAGATAGTCGGGGTAGTGCCTGAGATTTTGTATTTCTAGCATTTCCCAAGAGCATCAGCATTCGCCTTACCCGAGAGTTTGTTAACAAAGCAGAATTACAATTCCCACTGCTAACATACTAAATAATATTCTTCATATGAATAATCTGTCAGCAATTCATATGCAGAATAGGAACATAGAAGAAGAAATGTGGAGCTGGGAATGTCACTCAGTGGTAGAGTGCTTGCCCTGCATGCATAAGGCCCTGGATTCGATTCCTCAGCACCTCAGAAACCGCAAAAGCCAGAAGTGGTGCTTTGGCTCAAGTGGTAGAGTGCTAGCCTTGAGCTGAAGAGCTGAGGGACAGCGCCCAGGCCCAGAGTTCAGGCCCCAGACCAAAAAAAAAAAAGAAAAGAAAAGAAAAAGAATTGCATCACAGGGATTTTCTCAACCATAGCTGCACATGATAATGACTTGGGATATTAATATGCCCTAACATGGATTATAGGGTCTGACCTAATCTCATCAAATTAGAATTAAAAGAGTGACTTGAAGTTGGGACCTGGTGACTCATACCTGTAATCCTAGCTACTCAGGAGGCTGAGATCTGAACATCAAAGTTCAAAGCCAGAGCCAACAAGAAAGTCCTTGAGAGTCTTATCCACTTAACCACTAAATAAAACTGGAAATGGAGCAGTGACTTAGTGGAAGAGTGCCAGACTTGAATGGAGAAAGCTAAGGGACAATGGTCAGGCTCAGTATAGTACAACAGAAAAAAAGAGAATGATGTGATTTTTTAATAATTAAATTGTAATAGTTTTAATGTATTGATTTAAATAAAATTGACATTTAGTAAATTCTTAAATAAAAATTTATTTTAAGATATTGTATAGACTTCTTTATGGATTGTATCTGTGCTTTCTTTCATTTCTTCAAAAAATGGATCTCAAAATTTTTCATTGAGCAAAATCCACTTGTTTTTGTGTGTAGTCCTACATGCAATCAGTATAAATAATTAAGCTGGACATGGTGGTGCATGTCAGTAATCTCACATGCTTGGGAGGTAGAAGCAGAAGGATCCTGCCTTGCCATAGTTATTGAAAGCCTATCTTTAAAACAGCAAAGCATATTGGTGTTACTTTTCAAATAAATGAACAGAAATGTATATTAGAAATGCATAACCGACAATGGCCCATGTACATGGAAAAATATAGTATCTACAAAAGCACGGGGTCTAGTTTTATATCTATGTATAAATTTTCAATGTGTCTAATAATTTTAGACTGCTGTGAGTGGCAGATGAAAATAATAAAATATCAGGTGTGTAAAAACAACAACAACAAAACAATGGAGCCAGGAACATGGTTCAAGTGGTAGAGTGCTTGTCTAGTATGTATAAGGACCTGTGTTCAATTTCCAGTACTGTAGAAAAAACAAAACAAAATAATGTACCTAAAACATCATTTCATAGAGATCTGTCAAAAAAGAGATAATTTCACTTCATGTTGCTCATTTATATTTAATATCTAATTTTTTTGTAAGTCTTAGGAATTGAGAAGGTTGGTATGGCCTGTAGAACCACTGGACCAGTGGTTTTCAGCCAGAGGTGTGCCTAGGACCCATGGAGGAAGGTTCCATACGCATATGGCTAGTTCCATTTGCAGAGACTCATAGTGCAGTGCTGCCTAGAAGTGAACATACCAACATTACTAGATGACTTCATTTGATTCCCTGTCTCTGCTTTGATTAATCAAATCAGAATTGCTGGGGATGGAACCTGGGAACCAGGTTTTTTTGTGCCATTACTGAGACTTGAATCCAAGGTTTTATGCTCTCACCTGGCTCTTTCACTCAAGGCTGGCTCTCTACCACCTGAGCCACACTGTTGTTTTGGGATTTTTGCTTGTTAATTGGAAATGAATCTCACAGACTTTCTGCTCCAGCTGGGTTTGAACTTCAATCCTCAGATCTCAGCCTCCTGAGTAATGGATTACAGGTGTGAGCAACTGGTGCCCGGCTATTTTCAGTTTTACAAAAGCAGCAAATATTACCTGCAGATTTGGGTGGATGAGGGCAGCAATCTCTCCACTTTCATTCCTGGGATAATCGACCTTGTCCATTATTTTATATACCTCAACAGAACACGGAGGAAATTCTTTTCCTATGGAAAAAATGTATTATTAGCAACTTAAAAAATACCCTATAGCTGGGTGCTTAAGGCTCACATCTATAACCCTGGCTACTTAGGAGGCTGATATTTGAGGAATTGCAGTTCAAAGCCAGCCTTGGCAAGGAAGTACATGAGACTCATATCTCCAATTAATCACTAAAATAGACAGAAGTGGAGCTGTGGCACAAGTGAGAGAGCTCTAGATGAGTAAAAAAAGTTCAGGACTGTGCTCAGGCCCTGAGTTCAAGTCCCAGACCAACACATGCATGTGTCCTGTGCGTGCGCGCGCGTGCACACACACACACACACACACACACACACACACACACACAGAATACTCCTAGAAAGGGAAATAGATACTTTAAAGAAGAACAGCAACAAAACCACAAAGATAGTTAGATAGTTAATAGGAGAATACAACAGGTTTATTTAAATATATTTCATAAATAAGAAATGAAAAGATGTTCTGGAATTATTCCTCTCAGAACTCTTTCCAGAAATGAACTGATGAACAAAATAGAATTGGAAAAGCCAGTGTGGGAGCTAAAACACTAGGATTGTGAGTCAGGACTTCTGGACTTTATTCTCTTTTCTGTATCACCTTTTCCTCCCATTGCTGTGTAATCTCTAGATGTTCTAGTGGCTTGCTTTCATGTCTTGACTGATGAAGGTTTAGGTTTGCTTCTCTCAGAAATTCTTCCATGAATGCCAGTCAGCTAGGGCTTCTGCCTAGTGGTTCTGTGTGTTCAGTACACTAGGCATTTGGCTAGTTTGTGAACAGCTTGTTCTCAGAATATAGTACTGCCTGGCAGGGGAGTTTAACTTACAAAAAAAAAAAAACCATGGCAAATGTCCAGCTCATGTTCTGGACTGGCTTTGCTAATTTCTGACTGCCTTGCTTATGGATTTAGGGTAAGCTGTCAGGCAGCTAAAAGCTGTGTTATGAGATGGCCTCACTCGTATGTCTGGCATCTGGTATGTATGAGTTTTCCATTGTATGAGTTTTCCATTGTAGAACCTTTCCTTATTCAGCAGGCTCATGTGAATTGACTTAAATCATGATGGTATAGGTTTGGGAGAGCAGTAAGAGAGCAAGTCACAGGTGCAAGTCTTTTGCAAGCCTATTCAGTGGCATAAAAGTCAGATTCAAGGTATAGAGAACTGCTGGGTTTTTGCAGAGACTGAAAGTGGGCTGTTGGAGTTACCACTACTAATGCCTATGGGAGCATACTATGGACTGTGATTTTTAAACTATGTTTGATTGTGGCCTTCTGGGTGGATGTCATTTCTTATCATATCATTGTAGATCCACATTGTTTGAGGATGCTGTATGTGTATGTGGTGACTGTCCCAATCCTGGTTTCAATGTACAGGACAGAACCTGTCCCTAGACTTGGAAGGCAACAGCTGATGTTCAGTTTCTATGACTACGTACCAAAGACTGCCAACCACAGAAGATCCTGTGCTCACAGGGGCTGCACATCTAAAGTTTGGCAATTACATTTCTCTCCAGGCACCAGACTCCACACTAGCACTGTTGCTGCAATGACTTCTTCATGAAATGCTACAACTCAGCCTATTGGTCTTATGCGATGTTGTTACAATTGAAAAGTAAACTTTTCTTATAATTAATAGACTCTATAACGTGCTTTTTTTAGATATACTGAATAAATAAGAGTTCCAAACACCAACTTCTCTACCAGTCTCTATTTACTTGTTAAATATAGAAATATTCAACAAGAATAATGTATTAATGATAATACATGAATATATTAGTCTTGTTGAATAACAGAGTGAGCCTCATTTATTCCTCTCTTCCTTAGACATTACTGTAATCTGTTGGTGTGTTCAAAAATTTATTGTATATTTTAGCATATATGTATATGTATTCTAGTAAGTGATTATGTATGTATACATATATGTATGTATGCACGTATTTGTTTTTAAGACAAGTTTTTACTATATAGCCTAGCTAGCCTCAAACTTCTATATAGTCCAAGCTGGCCTTGAACTCTGTGTCCTCTTGCCTCAGCCTCCCCAAAACTGGGATTATTTACATATGCCACCATGCCCAGTTTAGTAGTATTATTTTAAAGCAAATCAACATACTATATTCTGTGGCCTGCAATTTGTTTTCTTTTAATTATAATGTGTTTTGAATATTATTCCACATTAGTTTATTATAAATTTTAATACCTAATGGACATTTGAGTTATTTTCATTGTTGTACTGTTATGAACAGAGTTGTAATAACCACTCAGTGTATATTTGGGTATACATGTACTTGTGAAACTTCTGGGTCCCACTTGTGCATCTTAATTAGTAAATACTATAAAATTGACCTGTAAAGGGTCTTTAATTTATTTTATTTCTCCAGCAGGTAGCAGGTAATGAGAGTAACTTATCATTGGATTTTAATATTTTCCCAATATAATAAAGAAAAATGTTATTTTAATTTACATTCCTCTGGTTATTTACAATGTTGAACATTTCTTCTTATGTTTATTAGACATTTGTATTTCCTAGTCTTTTTGTGCTTTTTAAATTTTTATTTTTTAAATTTAAATTTTAATTTTTTGTGAACTTACTGTACAGATTTTTGTGCTTTTTAAAATGACAAGTTATAAGGAAACTTGACTCTGGGTAGCTGCTCTTCTTAAATATCCTACGGTCACTGAAGAATTTCTGAAGTAGAGAAGATTTAAGAAGAGAAGGAGAGAATACAGTCATGAATCCAATGTATTTCCTACAAAATTAAGAAAACTGAGAGAAGAGGTGGGTAGGGGAGGGATGAGTGAAAATATTGACATTGATCAAAATATACTGTACTTATTTGTACAATTACTTAAAGACAATAAAAAAGTAAATGTGTCTTATGTAGCACATAAAAAAGTATTTAAGAGTGAGGTTAGGTGGCATATACTTCTAATCTCAGGTCTTGGGAGACTGAGGCGGGAGGATCATAAGTTTGAGGCTAGATGGGCTACATGGTGACACCTTGTTTCAAAAAATAATCTAAGACAAATTTGACCTAGATTCCAATTCCCATTTCAGTGTTTATTGATTAAGTTACACACTCATATATACACACATTCTGATGGCCAAGTGATGTTCAAATACACATCAAGAAAATGATTCTCACTCACCACATACCTTCATTAAAATTGTGTATAAAATCAAGAGCATATTTAATCATTTTTCTCATTTGATCCAAAATATCAGCTCTCAGAACACCTTGAGGCTGGGGACCAACTTCTATACCTAGGTACAGTAGGTGATAGAATCAAGTATTAGAACATTCTGTAAAGTGGAACATTTTATTTTATTTATTTTTTCTCTTTTGTGTTGTCAGAGTGATGTACGGGGGGCTACAGTTATATAACTAAGGTAATAAATACATTTCTTGTCAAACTTGTTACCCCTTTCTTCATTTTCCTCCTACTTTGCCTCTCCCCCTTCCCCAAGTGGAACATTTTAATATATAAAGATCTAGAATCTCATTGTTAAACACTTTTTCAACGGTAAAACATTTAGTATTATAGAAAATATTTGAAATATAGTGTTAGACAATAAAGGAACATTTATATATTCAAATAACACAAAATAACAAATAAAGACTAGGAGAGACTATAGAAAAAACATAGAATTGTGTTTAACTGTGAAGAATTCAGAGACACTTTTAAAAAAATTTCCTTCAATATTGTCAAAATATCAAAAGTTCATAACATAGTAAAAGAGGTAAACAAAGTTAGGTTGAAAAAGTTAATAGGTGACCACAAAGACAACTGACCAAGACCTAACACTTAGTTTGACAGGAGGAAGGACATCTATTTAGTCTTTGAAATCTAGCTAGATGAGCCACAGTCATGATTTTTGACATGATAAGTGATCTTGAAGCGATTTTTTTGTCCTTAATATAATTCATCCTGATAATATAGTACAACTAATTTAATTTTCTGTAGAAAAAAGTAGTTGTTTAATCTATCTCCAATAAAATGAGTCTGTATTATCAGGTCTATTTCCCATGGTTGTTAAACATGCATCTTTACATCTACAAAACATTCTCTCTCAACCATTTGTCTTGTTCCTTTCCTATTAAAGTCTCCCACAAAGTCAGTGCTCCAATCATTACCTTTTTTAAAATTGTGCCTATACTGGTGCTTGAACTCAGGGCTTAGCTGCTCTCCATTAGCTTTTTTTTCTTAGCTTAAAAATTTTTTTAACTGTAAAGATATTGTACAGAGGGGTTACAGTTACATGAGTAGGGCAATGAGTACATTTCCTTTTGAGTATTGTTACTCCCTCCTTTGTTTTTCCCCTACCATCCCTTCCCTCCCCACCTCCCCAACTCCTCCCTTACCCTCCCCAAAATTGTCAAGTTCCTTTTCAACATAGTGTCTTGTACATCTCATTGTTACAATGGACCAACCTGTATCCTTGTTTCAGCATTTTGTTATTTCCCTTCCCCTCACCAAGTTAGAAAAATTTATATACAAGATGCAGGGCACCAGAACCAAATACAGTGAAAACAGGGGTTATACCATTGGGGAAGAATATACAAAAGAAAAAAATCATAGTACATTGTAAGTACATTAAAAACAATAGCAACAAGGATAAAACCTCTTGTGTTCCTATCTTGGGGTTCATTTCACTTAGCATCATCTTAAATGGTCATATGTGCATAGCTTTTGAGCCTTTCTACTTGTCTGGTGAGATTATCCTAGACATATACTAGTTATTGCAAATAAGGGAACCAATAGGATCTATGTTTCTTTGGGCCTGGCTTACTTCACTTATATAATTTTTTCCGAATCTTTCCATTTCCTAAAAAATGTGGCGGTGGATTCTTTTTGATGGAGGCATAGAATTCCATTGTGTGTGTGTGTGTGTGTGTGTGTGTGTGCGCGCACATGCGTGAATGTGTGTGTGTGTGTGTGTGTGTGTGTGTATGTGTGTGTATCACATTTTCTTGATCCATCCACCTATCAAGGAGCATCTGGGTTCAACTATGGTGAATAATGCTGTGATAAACATAGTTGTGCTGGTAGCTTTAGTATGGCCTTGTTTATGATCGTTTGGGTAAATGCCCAAAAGTGGGATTGCTGGGTCATAGGGGAGCTCTATGTGTAGTCTTTTACCCTTAGCTTTTTTTGTTCAAGGCTGGCAGTTTACACCTCGAGCCACAGTTTCATTTCTGGCTTTTTTGTAGTAAATTGGAGATAAGAGTCTCATGGACTTTTCCTGCCTGAGCTGGCTTTGAACCACAACCTCAAATCTCAGCCTCATGAGTAGCTAGATTTATAGACATGAGTTTTATTTATTTATAGGCAGCCAGCCCTTTTTCTATTTTTTTCAAACTTATCATCCAGTATAGTATCACCAATTTTCATTCTCTTTTCTTTTATGCCTTTCCTATTTCTGTTCACAAAACATTACTATTTTTTTTCCTTATCATGATTTTTAAAATTGTTGTGTTTAGCTTCATGTGCCTAGGGACATTTAAGTATATGGTATCATATATGCTGGTAAGGTATGTATCTGTGCATAAGTGATTAGTTAACTGTATTCTTCTGGGTGAAGACCCAACCCCTCCCTATTGGTGCACAGCATCTTGCTTTCTACCTAGGACTGACCATTTCAAACCTCAGTCTTCTCTAAAGACATGAATCCATAGAATACTTGTGGCTGCAGATATTTCAAAATGGCTTAAACTATAATGTAAATCATGTATTTTGTGTAAATTTATTTGTAAAAATGTATTTTACTTTATATCTTGTATAAACACACAAAAATTGTGTTCATGGCTATGTCTGCATGTATAGTGTACAAGATGTAGTTTGCCTATTCCAAATTCCTTCCTCATTACTCCTGTTTATTTATTTATTTATTTATTTTGGGTCCGGTCATGGGGCCTGAACTCTGGGCCTGGGTGCTATCCCTCAGCTCTCAGCTCAAGGCTAGTGCTCTACCACTTGAGCCACAGCGCCACTTCCGGCTTTTTTTTCTTTTTGCTTATGTGGTGCTGAGGAATTGAACCCAGGGCCTCAGGCATGCAAGGCAAGCACTCTACCACTGAGCCACCTTCCCAGCCCCATTACTCCTGTTTAATAGGATCATAATCTGTTAGGTAGTCAATCTTCAAGTTATATGAACTTCTCTTCAGCTCAAGACTACATATTGAATGGTTCAATTTAATCATAGTAATTCTGACACTTTGGTGATTGACTGAAGAATGAATGTATGGCCCAGTTATGCCCAAGGTGACAAAATGAAAGAGATGTAGGGTAGTTCTTTAGAGTTTCCTTTATTGTATCTTGTCATATTGTTGTATGAATCTTGGAATCACAGTGGACATCACATGCCACAGAGCCACTAAAGACACACCAAATGTGGTAGACCAGAAAGATAAAAGAAACCTAGTCCCTTGTGTTGAAATATTGGGTAAAATAATACATTTATCTTATTGTTATGCCATTTTGGGTTACAAGCAGCCAAAAGTGTTCTATGTATTCTTGTCTTCACAGGGCAAGAGCTGTGGTATTGTGGTATGGTCAGTCCTATTTAGAGAGTAAGAAGCTATTGACAGGTATTCGTGGATGCTTTAATCAGAACAAAAGGTTAGTGAAGTTTTATATTCTCACTGTGAGTGGTTGGGTGGTCATATTTTCTAAGCTAAAAATTATCTTTAATGTAAGATCTTATAGTGCTGTAAATGTTTATGTAGAGTAGCATAGTTGAATGGAGGGAAGGAAAAATGATGATAAAAAATTAATGTTGGGTGCCAGTGGCTTATGCCTGTAATCCTAGCTACTCAGGAGGCTGAGATCTGAGGATCATGGCTGAAGGCCAGCCTGGGCAGGAAAGTCCATGAAACTCTTATCTATGATAACCACCAAACAGCCAGAAGTGGAACTGTAGCTCAAGTGATGGTAGCGCAGTAGCCCTGAGCAAAAAACCTTAAGGATAGCACTAAAGCCCTGACTTCAAGCTCCAGGACCAGCACAAAAATAAAATAAGATAAAATAACTATTGAATCTCAAGTGAGATCATTGCCAATCTGAGAAAGTCAAGAGAAGTTGTATCTAGTCATGTTTCTATGTGTGTACATGTGTGTGTTTGTGACAGTTCTGGAATGATCATGAGGCTGGTTACAGCAAACTGCTGCTTTCTGGAACAAAGTTTAGTGACTGAGAATGATCCTGTTAAATTTCAACTACTTTGGAATTAGAATGGTCCTTGTAGGTGACTAGTATAAATGGATGATAGCTTAGGTAAAGGTCTTAGTGTATTATGAAATGTTGAATCAAAACAGTGTCTTCTGATGTGAAGTGTTTATAATTCAATGGGTAAGTATGCCATAAAAGGACTCCAAATCAAGTTACAGAGAAACAGAGAATGTGTAATATTTCTAATGATTTATAATCAGTAGCAATTATAATTCCTCATATTGAAATGTTTTAAACATTTGACTCTATTTGTCAGGGCCAAAAGTAGCAGCAGATATTTGTTGTAGCTCAGAAGAACATTGGAAAGTAGATCTGTGGCTCAAGTGGTAGAGTGTAGCCTTGAGCACAAATGAGGCTCAGGGACAGTACACAAGCCCCAGGACTGGCAAAAAAAAGAACAACATTGACCTTAGGTATCATAGAGCAAAATTGATCTTCAGAGTTTGGAAATCTTAGGGCTGAATAGATGGCCCAAGTGGTAGACTACTTGCCTAGAGAGTAAGAAACTCTAATTTCAGTACTAAAAGAATGAAAAAGAAAAAAAAAAGGTTTGGAAATCCTTTGCTTTTATTTGGTTTCAAAAAGAGCCATAATTCTATTCCACATTTATTATTCTTCTTGTTGTTGTTATTTTGCTAGAAATCTAATTGAAGTCCTCATATATGCTAGGCAGGTTCTCTTTCACATATCTAGCCCTATCTTACCTTGTTAAGGCTTTAAAAAATTACAGCTATGTATCTATCTATATTTGGATATTTAGGCAATATTATGTGCCTATATTTGGATATATTCTCCAATTACATTTGATATTGAATTAATTCACTTAATTATGCAACAAAACATCACCTCTTAAACAACCAGGATTACTTAAAATGTTTTTCAATTGCTTACATTAGTTACCAACAAATTACTCATTATAAAACTGAGAGGGGAGGGAAGAGATGGTAGGGGAAAAACAAAGGTGGGTATAACAATGCTTGATAGGAAATGGACTCCTTACCTAGCTCATATAACTGTAACTCCTTTGTACAGTATCTTTACAAAATATATATGTATATATATACATAAAGAGAGAAAAAATAGCAATCTTAAGTATGGTGTAGTCTGCAGATGATTAACTCATGAAGGTGTCTCTGGAAGAGTGTGGAATGACTCTGTATTGGCCGTGGTCCCCTCTGTAGTAGTAGTGACCTGGTTGGCTGTTAGTTGTCTCATTAGATACTATTTTTTATTTTTATTTATTTATTTACTTATATTGTGAAAATACCATACAGAGGGGTTACAATTACATGGGCAAGGTAATGAGTACATTTCTTATCAAGCATTGCTGCTTCCTCCTTTAATTTCTTTTTTTTTTTCCTTTTCTTTTTTTTTTTTCCAGTTGGTCATGGGGCCTGAACTCTGATCCTGGGCGCTGTCCCTCAGCTCTTCAGCTCAAGGCAAGCATGCTACCACTTGAGCCACAGCACCATTTCTGGCTTTTTTTTTGCTTATGTAGTCCTGAGACATTGAACCCAAGGCCTCATGCATGTAAGGCAAGCACTCTACCACTGAGCCACCTTCCCAGCCCCTAGATACTAATTTCTTTAAGGGAAAACTACATGGCTTCTTCACCACTACATCCTCAGTACCACAATAAATACCTGTGTAAAGTCTGGAGTAATAATTCTGGGAGTGGAATCAGAGTAGATTCTATATGGAGGCAGTATTTCACTTAAATCTTGGGAATTTGTCATTTGAACAACTGAACAGTAATAACAAAGGTGATTATATGAACAAAGCAGAAAGCTACTCAAAAAAGCTAAGGAAATTAAGTACAGTTAGAGCCTGCCTCAAGTTAATGTGCTTCTTACCTGTCAGTCAAACATTATGGTAAGCAAGACAGCTATAATTTTTCTTGTGTGGTAACACTAGGGCTTGAACACAGGGCCTCTTGCTCTCTCTTTTGGCATTTTTCCCTCATGGCTTGTGCATTACCACTTCATCCACACTTCTAGCCTAACTTTTTTTCTGGTTAATTGGGAGGCTTTCAGACTTTTCTGCCCAGGCTGTCTTTGAATGGCAATTCTCAGATCTCAGCTCCTAAGTAGCTTGGATTACAGGATTACAATCATTGGCATCTGGTGCATGAATATTTTTAAAAAATTATTTTCTTGTCAGGAACCAGTAATCCTACCTACTGAGGCTGAGAGCTAAGGATTTCAGTTGGAGGCCAGCCCAGGCAGGAAAATCCATGAGACTCTTTTTTTTTTTTTGTCGGTCTTGGGTTTTGACCTCTGGGCCTGGGCACTGTCCCTCAGCTCTTCAGCTCAAGGCTAGCGCTCTTTTGAGCCACAGTGCCACTTCTAGCTTTTTCTGCTTATGTGGTGCTGAGGAATTGAACCCAGGGCCTCATGCATGCAAGGCAAGCACTCTACTACTAAACCACATTCCCAGACTCTTTTTTTTTTTTTAATTAAGGTTTTTATTCTGAGAATACTGTACAGAGGAGGGGTTACAGTTACATGAGCAAAGTAATGAGCACATTTCTTATCAAGCATTGTTATCTCCTCCTTTGTTTTTCCCCTACTATCCCTTTCCTTCCATCTCCACAACTACACTCCTCCCCTCCCCCCCATGCCCTAATCACACACCCAGCCTAAATTGTAAAGTTCGTTTTTCAACATAGTGTCTTGTATATTTCATTGTTGCAGTGGGTCAATATGTATCCCTGTTTAAACAAGTTGTTTTTTCCCTTCCCTCCCCCAAATTATACCAACATCAAATACAGTGAGAACAAGGGTTATATTGTGGGGGAGGGACATACAAAGCACCAACAAAAAAAATCACTTGGTACCTTATAAATACGTTAGAAGCAATAGCAAGAAAGAAAAAACCATTTGTGTCCTTATCTTGGGGTTCATTTCACTTAATATCATCTTATCTGACCTTTTCTGCTTGTCTCAGACATATACTAGTTATTGCAAATAAGGGAAACCATGTTTATTGCAGCATTATTTACCATAGCTTGATATGGAACCAACCTAGATGACACTCGGTAGATGAATGGATCAAGAAAATGTGGTATATAAACAAAATGGAATTCTATGCCTCCATCAGAAAGAATGACATTGCCCCATTTGTTAGGAAATGGAAAGATTTGGAAAAAATTATATTAAGTGAAGTAAGCCAGGCCCAAAGAAACATAGGTCCCATAGTTTCCATGTCACTCTTATCTCCAATTAGCCACCAGAAAACTGGAAGTGGCGCTGTGGCTTAAAGTGGTAGAGCGCTAACGTTGAGTGAATAAAGCTCGGGGAAGGTGCCCAGGCTCTGAGTTCAAGCCCCAAAACCAACAAAAATTAAAATTAGAAAAATTATTTTCTCAGAATTTCACATAGGACAAACTTTATTCACCACTAGGAAATATGACTTACCAACAGGATGCTTGGCTATAGAACGAGTAGTTGCATATTTGAGGGAAGGATGTTCAATAAGATATACATAGCAAGGTAATGGAGCCAAAGAAGTCTGAAAAAAATTTAAAATGCATTTCTTATTATATAAACAACATATGCCATTACTGTTAGTAATGTCTTCAATATATTTTACTTTACCTATTAATATTAGCCAGAGAGCTTTATGAAACACACTGTGAAACCCACAGCTTGGAAAACACATGAACCAATTATATATAAAATCAGATTATATATTGCTTTTTAAATGAAATGTACACAATAATTCTCTAACACAATGGTTAAAGAATATGTAATAAATTTCCCTTCCAAATAGACTCAGTTATTTTTGGTAACCTTGCTACTTAGTGTAGTATTGGTCTCTTAAAGAATATTATTTTTTTCTGGAAGTCCAGGTTTTTACAGATGTTGGGTGATTCCTCTCTTCTGCTTCTAAGAATTTGAGTCAGGCCTCTTGGTTTTGGTAATATAAGCCATGCTACTTCCATGTTGGGAACCAAAGCATCAAGCTTTCTTCTCAAATGACAGCTGCATGATCTCCCATTTTCTTTAGAACCACTATCTAGTTATTGTCAAAACTCAAGAGAAATCAATATAATAAACTTTATATAGGCTGCTATGTTGAATACTTCATTAGTACACTAATTACATAAAATGAGCAGTAAGATTTGGGAAGATTAATTCCTTTTTTTTCCCTGCCAGTCCTGGAGATTGAACTCAGGGGCCTGGGTGCTGCTCTTGAGCTTATTTGCTCAAGGCTATAGCTCTAGCTCTACCACTTGAGCCACAGCTCTACTTTGGGCTTTTTTTGGTGGTTAATTGGAGATAAGGGTACCCATGGACTTTCCTACTTTGGCTAGCTTCAAATTGTGATCCTTAGATTCTCTTGAATGGTGAAAATTACAGGTATGAGCCACTAAAGCCTGCCTCAATTAGTGTCTGGTCCAAGTTTCTAATAGATAAGAAAGCCAAGATGTGAACTTGCATTCTCCTGGCTACATGGATCAACCTTTTCTAGTAAATTGTACTAGTTTTCAGGAAGGAAGGATGTCTACTATATAGAAATAAACACACAATCCATTATTTGTATTTCTGCTCCATTATTTTTTCTTTTTCCCTTTCTTTCTTTCCTTCTGTCTTCCTTTCTTTTTGTTGTTCATGGGGCTTGAACTCTGGGCCTGGGCACTGTCTCTCAGCTCTTCAGCTCAAGGTGAGTGCTCTACCACTTGAGCCACAGCGCCACTTTCAGCTTTTTTTTCTGTTTATGTGGTGCTGAGGAATCGAACCCAGGGCTTCAGGCATGAGAGGCAAGCACTCTACCACTGAGCCACCTTCCCAGGCCTGCTCCATTATTTTTTCTAGCAAGTTTTCTTTAGCTTTAGGCACTGGGTTACTGATACTGTCATCTCACAGATTTCTGAGGCCTAAAATAATGAACTATATGAAGTGTGTACTGAAAGATCAGACATACATTTGGGAGTATCTGGATTAAATGGAGATAAGGGCAAGGTTAAAAACTTGTTATCGCTGTTTTTTTTAACCAACATTAAATAATACTTCCTGAACTTTGCCTGAGTGTTGTCCCTGAGTTCTTTGGCTCAAGACTACCAGTTTGAGCCACAGCACCACTTCCAGTTTTTGAGTGGTTCATTGGAGATAAGTGTCTCAGGGACTTTCTTACCAAACCTGGCTTTGAACCACAATCCTCACATCTCAGCCTCCTGAGTAGTCTCATGCTAACTTATAAATTAAAAATTAAAAATTGACATTTTACCTTAATATAATGAAACATCTGAATTAAAAAATCATTCCTGGAATCTTCAAGAATAAGAGTACATCCCATGTTAGAAGTAGTGTTATGAAGGTCAAAAATAATGTCATAGGAATTTTCACTATTTTTCGGACCAAATAAATGATTTATTTCTTGAGCCCTTCTCACTTCATATGGCAAATCTTCAGAAACTTTTTTGCTGTTTTGAGCAGAAAGGAAAAGATTAACAATGCCTGTGGCTAAGATAACATAACTATACAATAAGTTGACAGTGTACAAAGAATGGTTGCTATAGTTTTAAGATGAAAAAGCTGTAAGAGCTGGGTGCCAGTGGCTCATGCCTGTAATCCTCGCTACTCAGGAGGCTGAGATCTGAGGCTCACAGTTCAAAGCCAGCCTGGGCAGGAAAGTCTGTGAGACTCTTATCTCCAATGAACCACCAGAAAACTAGAAGTGGCGCTGTGGTAGAGTGCTTGCTTTGAGCTGAAGAGCTGAGGGACAGTGCCCAGGCCCATAGTTCAAGCCCCACAACTGAAAAAAAAAATCTGTGAGAGAAGGAAAAACATATCTGAAACATTTATTTATTTATTTATAAGGTTGATACTGGGGCTTGAACTCAGGGATTTGAGCTTTTGCATAGCTTTTGTGCTCAGGCTAGAGCTCTACTACTTGAGCCACACATCCACTTGTAGCTTTTTACAGACTATTTTTGAGACAAGTGACTCTCAGATTTGTCTGACTGGACTGACTCTGAACTTCAATTCTCAGATCTTAGCCTCTTGAATAGTGAGGATTATAGGTGTGAGTCACCAGTATCTACCATACCTAAAACCTTTATAAATTAAACAATATACTTCTTTCTCTAATTGATTCTACATAACTAATATCATTTTGGCAGGGTTACAAAATGATAGGTTCATGTATATGGCATGTCACAGGTAGAACATTTCAAACAATTTATCATTTAACTTCAATCCCAAGCAAATGTTATATATTAATTTGATTAACAGTTTCTTAGTAGTTATAGTAGGCTAGTTATATTTGTGGGAAAATGCCATTGAACGTACATTTCCTCTTTTCTGTAGCTAAATTGAGTGAACAAAACAGCCAAGCTTAGATGCTCACATCATCTTAATTACATTTTTTGTGCCTATCTTATGGCTTAAACTCAGGGCCTGTCCCTGAGCTATTTTGCTCAAATTAGCACTCAACCACTTGAGCTACAGCTCTACTTCCAGCTTTTTGGTGGTCAATTGGAAAAGGCTTATGGACTTTTCCTACCTGGATTGGCTATGAACCTTGATCCTCAGATCTCAGTCTCCTGAGTAGCTAGGATTATAGGTTAAATAACCCATGCCAGGCCTTAACTGAATATTTTAAATTGAGATCTAATTAGATACATACATATGTATATTTTTCTGTGGTGAGGGTTAGTAAGTTAATGATTATCATTATGCTCTTAAATGGATCCCTATTCATCTTTTCCTCACCTCTGGCAATGGTTAGGATAATTTTTAAATTACTGTGCATGACAATACCTTAAATTTATTTTTCCTTATGACATTATTACAATTTCATATAGTTCAATTTATTCAATGCCTTGGTTATTTTGCTTGTATTTTCAGGGGGTTGATTTATATCTAAGTATTTCTTCTTTGGAATGCAATCAAGAATAAGGAGCAACAATTCTGGGACTATAGAAGAAGCTTGTGGTACTGATGAAATTATAGAGCTATAGAACCAGTCTGGGTCTGTCTGCCATTGGACTTATTGCTTATGACCAAGAATTTCTTATTTGCTTAAGCTACTATTCTTGTGGTTTTATTTGCAACCAGACATGATTACTAATGTAATATCTATTTATCTATCTATGTGCATTTAAAAGTTAATAGAACAAGCCCATGAGGTCACCCCATAAATATTTACTTCTACAATGGTCTATCTCATTTGAGTAATGGTCCTATTTCCTACTAAGTTGCTCAGAGTCAAGGTTTAGAATTTTGAAAGACTGTGGACACCTTTCACTTCCCATCTCTAGAGTTTAGGTATTATTGGAAGAATCCTAAAGAATGAGGCTGAAAGAATAGACAGGGATTAGATTCTAAATTACATATACTCTTTAAAGGAATTGTGTGTGTGTGTGTGTGTGTGTTTATGCTGGTCCTGCAGCCTGAACTCAGGGCCTGGGTACTGTCCTTGAGCTTTGGCTAGTGCTATACCACTGGAACCACAGCTCCACTTCTGTCTTTTGGTGATTAATTGGAGATAAGAGTCTCATGGACTTCCTGCTCAGGCTGGCTTCAAACCATGATCCTTAGATCTTAGCCTCTTGATTAGCTAGGATTACAGGCACAAGCCATGGATAGGAAATTTTAAGGGAATTTCAGCAATGGAAGAATATAGTTGCATGTTTGGATGATACTTGTAGCTAGCATATGGATGATGGATGGCAGGAAGAATTGGAGTAAAACTGGAAACAGAAATCCTATCAGAGGCTATTTTAACTGTCCACAGAAAAAATAAACTAAGGTAATGACAAGAAGACTACCTTTGTGAGATTCTTGTAAAGAATACTTGAAAGAGCAGAGTGTTGGTGGTTCAGACCTATAATCCTAGCAATTAAGGAAGCTGAGCTCTGAGGATCAAGGTTCAAAGGTAGCCTGGACAGATAAATCTGTGAGACTGTTATCTTTAGTTAACTAGCAAAAAAGCCATGGGGCAGGGGAAGGTTTGGCTGAGTGAGAATCTAAAGCCCTGAGTTCAAGCCCCAGTACCAGCACCAAAAGAAAAAGTACTTGGGAGCACTTACTGATCCACTAAACATGAGAGTTGAACACAAAGACTCTAAGAGGATTTCTATAGGTGATCTTTGTGGGTAATGGTGCCATCATTGAAGTAAGAATTCTAGGAAAATTAGTAAATTTGGGAGAGGGCTAATAGAGAGATGGACTGGTTTATTTATCTCATTTTGATAGCTACCCTTTGAGAGAACTGTCTAGCCTGTGAGTAAAGAATAAGAAAGAAGCCGGGTGCTGGTGGCTCATGCCTGTAATCCTAGCTACTCAGGAGGCTGAGAGCTGAGGATCGTGGTTCAAAGCCAGCCTGGGCAGGAAAGTCTGGAAACTCTCATCTCCAATAAACCACCAGAGAACCGGAAGTGGCACTGTAGCTCAAGTAGTAGAGTGCTCATCTTGAGCTAAAGAGCTGAGGGACAGCTCTCAGTCCCAGAGTTCAAGCCCCATGACCGACAAAAAAAAAAAAAAAAAGAATAAGAAAGAATGTGATTTCAATTTAAAATATTGCTGTCATTGAAAGGCATGACATTGGTTGTTTATAATAAGAAAACCCAGTCTGTTCCAGAGTTATTTGGGAAATTAATATGCTGATTAAAAGTTATTCTTAGCTGGCACTGTGGCTCATACTTGTAATCCTAGCTCCCCAGAAGGCTGAGATCTGAGGATAGTGGTTCAAAGCCATCCTGGGCAGGAAAGTCTGTGAGACTTTTATCTCCAATTAACTACCAAAACCCAGAAGTAGAGCTGTGGCTCAAGTGGTAGAATGCTATCCTTGATCAAAAAAGCTCAAGGACAGCACCCAGGCCCTGAGTGCAAGCCCCAGGATTTGCATGCACACACACACACACACACACATTTACACTCATGTTATTCTTATTTTATATTCCATATGCATATATGGAAATACCAAAAAGGAGCAGGAATAAACAGTAAAAAATAATGTATTTAAAAAGTAAGAGTTATTCTTCAAAAATTTTACTTGTAATATATGAGTTAGTTAATAGCTATTTTATGCTAATGAACATTAGTAATGTGGATGCAATCATAAAGATACACCTATAAAGATGTTGAATTTCTGAAATTATGAATTTCTCAAATTATGATTTGACACACAAAGTATGGCTACTGTATAATTTCTCTGGAAAGCATATATATATATATATATTTGTGCTAAAAGAAGCATTTATTGTTTGTTCTGAAGTGAGATTAAACCTAAGGAATTCTTAAACTCCAACTAATGCTTATTAGAAAGCAAGTAAGTAAATGAAGCAGTACATTTAGTCGTTACAATGTCTTATATCATAGCTAGTAACCTGTCAACCCTTTGAGGATAAAAACCATTTTATGCTTCCACAGTGTTTGACACAGAATAGATGTTTAATTCTTTTAGGTAAATGAAAGAAGTAGCAAAAGGCTTATGTCATAGCAGCTACTGTTATGTAAACAAAGGCAATATAATTAGCAAGTAACAAACCAGACTATTATTATTATATACACTGTCCACAGTGTATTGTAAATCAGCTATAATTCAAATGCAGAAAGTTCAATGAAAACGTCTTTAGCATTCATTATTCTCATCTGCAGCAATCCACAATCGGAGATAAATATATCTGCTCCTCAGGCCACAGAGTAGTTTTCTGGCAATGGATACTTAGTCATGCTTTCATTCAACAAATGTTCATTTAAACATCACCCTTTTAACAACTAGGACTTTATGGATATCATAAACATAGTTGTAAGAAAAGATAGCACTGAATTCTTTAAAATGGTAACAAACATGTACATGAGCAGAGAGGTCAAACACTAATTTAGTGAAAAGTATTATTAAATCTGTGTCTTTAAAGATATGATTTTAAATAACAGACTTTGCCATTTATTTTCTTAAATTTTTTGGACTTCATTTAAAAACAAAACAGTGAAGAATAGCCACATGCTTTAAAAAGTCTGTGAAAGGGCAAACAAATGCCCAGTTTTGTTAATTGTGTAATTCACAATACAGCCTCAATAAAGTGAAAGTGATTTTATTCACTATAGCCATGATATTTATGAACATGGATATTGATCATATGCATATGTAAGCTCACTTTCAAACACCTACCACTTTTCCCACACGTATAGTCACACACAATACAAAACAAAATCTTACCCAAGATTTTCAAGGTCAAAAGCACGATTCAGGTCACAGTCAATGTATCTGGTACACTTCTCCACTGCTCTTGGGTTGGTAATAAAGGGTTTCACTTCCAAACCTGTTCTCTGAATTTCAGCACCATTCTCTAGCCAGTGCTTAACTAGAAATACTCCTGTTAGCTCATTTCCATGAGTTCCTCCAAAGATGGCGATCTTTTTTATAGGTTCTTCAGTGAAGTCACAAGAGGTCATTTTACTATGCAATTTTATCTGATTTCTACAATTCAGAAGAGAGGAGATTAAAGAATGCTTATTTTCCCAAGAAAAGTTTAGAAACTTAGGTCTAAATGAGACATTAGCCAAAGTGAAAAGCACAGACAGATTTCCCTTAAGTGGAATATCTAAAAAGTTTTCTGTTACAAGTTCTGAGCCCTGTTTATTATATGGGCACTTCCTTCTGTAGTCCTGCCCTTTACCATATTTGGGTTAAAATATGCAAAGATAAACTAGAGCTACAGCTGTTAACTTCTAACTCCCTCAGATGGTCAGAAGATCTAAGTACAACAACAAATCAGGATCTCCTACTAATAAAAAAAATGCTGTTGTTTTCTCTTCATCTAGAATGTAACCCAATGGAACTTTCAAGATTTTGTTTTGAAATAATGAGGACATTTTATACATTCCTATTTCCCCCTCCCCCAAATTTTAAAAAGTGGCACAGTAGTGTTTTTGGTCAGTTGTGGGGATTAAACTCTGGGCTTGTATGCTATCTATCCCTCAGCTCTTCAGTTCAAGGTTAGTGCTCTACCACTTGAGCCACAGTGACACATCCAGTTTTTTGGTGGTTTATTGAAGATAGAGTCTCATGGACTTTCCTGCCCAGGCTGGCTTTGAACCACAATCCTCAGATCTCAGCCTCCTGAGTAGCTAGGATACAGGCATGAGTCACCAGCGCCCAGCACATTAGTGTTTATGTTTGCATTAACATTTAAGAACATTTCTTTTCATAATATGAGGGCATTTGAGTTTCATCTCTATCAAGAACAAAAGGTTGAAGTCCAGAGGTAGCCTTGTGAAACAGTAGCCAAAGGCACAAGGACCTAAGACCTAACTAGTGATTGCTGGGACTTAAACCAGTTTATAAACACAATGCATCCTGATCAGTGTCACTCCTTCAACATTCCCACCCCCCCTTCAACCCACACCTTCCTTTACTTTTCTTAGTTTTGTGCTATATACAATGAATTCTTGCCTTCATTCTCTCCCTCTTTCCCCTTCATTCATTTTTCCTTTCTCCCCTTAGCTCCCCGCCGCACTTGGATGTACCCATTTCCTGGTGTTGATTTTGTTGAGCTTTGACCTACAGGCCATAGAAAACTTGACTAAGAAGAGAAGTGACCCAAATAAGTAATATCAGAGATGAAGATGGAAACATCACAACAGTATCAGGTAAAATTTAGGAAATTATAAGGGAATCCTTTACAAGCCTCTATGGCAATAAATTGGAGAATCTGGCAGAAGTGGATACATTCCTAGAGAAAATAAATACATTGAAACTGAGAGAAGACATAAACCAACTAAACAGATCCACCACAAGTAAAGAAATTGAATTGGCAATAAAAGACCTCCTTTCCAAAAAAAGCCCAGGATCTGACGGCCTCACAGCTAAATTCTGAGACCTTTAAAGTAAAACTAACACCAATATTCTTCAAACCCTTTAATGGAGGGATCACTATCAAACTCATTCAATGAAACCACCATTACAGTCCCTAAAGATGATAAAAATACATCAAGAAAATAGAACTTTAGATCTATATCCTTGATGACCATCAATGTTCAATTTCTCAACAAAATAGGGGCCAATAGAATCTAACAATTAATCAAGGAAATCACACACTATGATTAAGTGGGATTTATCCCAGGGATGCAAAGAGTTCAACATATGTAAACCAATAAATGTAATACAACACATCAACAGAAGCAAGGACAAGAACCACAGGATCACCTCAATAGATGCAGGAAAAGCTTTTCATGATACCCTTTGTGATAAAAGCTCTGGAGAAGTCAGGATTACATGCAGCATTCCTCAATATAATGAAGTCTGTATGTGACAAAACTACAGCCACCATTGTATTTAATAGTGAAAAACTAAAGCCATTTTCCCCAAATCAGGAATGAGACAAAGGATGTCCACTCTTGCCACTGCTCTTAATATAGTTTTGGAATTCCTAGAAGGAGCAATGAAGCAAGAGAAAAACACTAAAGAGGACCCAAATAGGGAAGGAAGAAGTAAAATGATCTCTTTTTATAGATGACATGACCCTGTACTTATTGGACCCTAAAGTGTACCTCCCTAGAGTGGATCCAAAACTTTGACAAGGTAGCTGTGCATAAAATAACCCCACAAAAATCATCAGCTTTTCTCTTTGCCAACAACGAGAAGATTGAAACTGAAATCAGGAAAGCAACCCCATTTGCAATTGCCTCGTAAGAAATAAAATACTTAAGAATTAACTTAGGTCAAAAGGTGAAGGACCTCAATAGTAAGAAAAAACTACTTTGAAACATCCTTTATTTTCTTTTTTTGTGTGAAAATTTTTTCTAATTCTGTATTACTTTCCTTAGAAATCTCGCTTATCCTCTAAAGAAAAACCAACTGGTTGTAATTTTCAAATCCTAAAAATATCTTGCAGCATACTATATGCATTGACCACATCATATGAGGTTATTTAAATGACTTCTTTTACAGTCAGCCAGGGATTCTCCACTGGAATGTGCTGTTTGAAAGGGGGTCTTATTAGGGAAGTTTTCCAGAATACTAAGAGGATTACATGCCTTTGAAGAAATGATTCTGAGCCAAATCTGGCATGGTTTCATGCTCAGTCAGCCAGAAAGTCTGATATGTCCAAGTGCTGAAAATACTGCATATTAGTAATGCCAGTTACTCATGTTGGACACGAGTAACTGATTACAAGAAAGAGCAGTTTAATTTGTAATGTTTTTCTACATACCTCAGATCAATTTATTCACACATTCACTTTATTAGATAGAATGGGTTAGGTATTAACGTCCCCCCTTGCAAGGATAAAGAAAAGACATGATGAAGTTTCCACAGATACATAAGAGAAAACTAGGCCTGGGACCTATTTTTGCTGATTAAGTCCAGTGTTTTTCAGAGGATAGCAGGAGTACCTCTGTTATTATTGGCCTTTTCTGATGTTCTTATTTTGCTTTTTCAGAATTTATGTAAACAGCCACTACAGTCTGCTCAGGATATGCAAATAAAATACATAATAGAAATATAAGATATGGTTTTAAAATAATATTTACTAAATCAATTTCTATATTCTTTAAAGAAATGCTTGACAAAAATAAAATAAAATGTAAATTTACACACTAAAATTACCGACCTAAGACCTTTGACTTTCTACATATATTAGTGTACACTAAACACTATAGTTGGTCTAGAGATTATAAAAACACAAGTAAATATAAACAGATGACAGTTTTATTACCACTTTGGTTTTAATTCACTACGGCAAATTATTAAATATTCTGCTATGTTTTGTTTCTTTCTTGCTGATTTGCATTTTTTTTGTCTTTCTGTCTTTTGCCCTAGTCTCTCTGTAAGTTCTGCTTCAGTTATTTACTTGTAGCTGGCAGAAATGATTTGCATTCTGAGGCTTGTTTTTATGGAATTTTATCAGGTCAGCATTTTGAAGCACATTTCATAAAGTTTCTGTGACTTGTCCAAATGAGTAACTTATTGGAAAGTTAATGAATTACAACGATCCCCTCCCTCCCCTTGTCCTTACCTTGGTTATTGTAGACAGAGTTTGTTTTCTGTGGAAATCTTTGTTAGAAAAAGAAAGACAACATTTCCTTAGAACTGGAGCAACAGAGGCTTTTCATACTTTTATACCAAGTTAACTTCCAAAAGACTTTTAACTCCTTGTTTTCCAAAATACACTCGAGGTTTGAACCATACAAAACTATACAACTTACTAGGTTTTTTTGAGAGTTCAGAAAATTGTATTATAGAAAACTCATCACTGTCTCACTACTATTTAATATTTTAAAATACGTAAGAGGAAATAATAGAGTAATAAGTGCAATTACCTTTAGTTATTTCTGTATGGAGAAAGGCTTCATTTCTTAATAAAATAGTGTATCTTGAAACAAAACAGAGCACATTTTCACTTCAAGGTTATGGGTATTCAATAGATCAATACCAGTAAATTTGTTGAAGACAAATTTAAGATTAGGTTTTTCTAAAAGAGCACGTTTGGAGGAACTTCAGTTCAACAATTGTCAGTGACTCATAAATAATGTGGTGGTCCAGAAGTCAGGCTATCAAACTATATTCAAATATTCTCTTAAAATGTCTCCTTTTTCTGAGGCCCTTATTCCTATCTGTCTAATTAAGATTTTTAGGTGGAAATAAAGGAAAGCAAAAAAAAAAAAAACAGACAGGGATAGAATAAATAAGCTTCTTAACTGATAGCAAAGATCTTATATTGGTAATGTTTGCATTTCTTACAGCTGCAGTACAAGTCTTATGGACTTCTTTTATGGTGTGTTTGTATGGTGCTAACGATTAGTACTTGGGTTTCATGCACTCTGGGAAAGCTCTCTAGAGCCACACTCTTAGATCTTTCTCCTTTTAAAATGAACAAGTTACTTTTTTTTTGTGAGGGAGTATGCGTTTTAAATATTTGTGTATATGTAAGTATATATCAGGTTAAAATTCCTTCCTTGAAACATGTTTTGTGTAAGTCTTCTATCTGGAACAGTGATGATTCACTGACATTTTGTCATCCGAAGTTTCTTTCCAAATTAAAAGGCTCTGTTCCTTCAAAGCTTATTTCTTACCTTGGCATCTAAGGTCTGTTATTATTTGGTTTCAATCTTCTAATACTGTTCTTATTTGACCTACTATTTAAAGAAATGCCTATGTTTTGCTGTCTCGTAGTCATAGACCTTTACTAATAACTTGCCCTTTACTTCAGAGCCATAACTTCCCTTCATCTTCCTAGCCCTTGAATAGCCAAGGTAATAACGGAACATGGTCTTTGAGCTAGATCTAGAATTACTACACCTGGCTGATAGTAAGTACTTAATAAATGGCAGCTGATGCTATGAAATAGGGCTGTAATTGAACACTATATTATGTGCCAGGACTGTTCATTTTCTCTGTTAGTATTTGTAAGGTAATTAACTAAATACTGTCATTGTTATTTTACTGGGGAAAATAGAGAGAGGGCTATAAGAGACCAAGCAGAGGCCAGGGATGTTGGGCAGGAAGCCTGGAACCAGAGTTTGGGTCATTAAATGGTTCTACTTCTTTTGTGTATCATTTCTGCCACCCATGTGTTCTTCTCCTGTCTGAGCAGAGCTCTGCCTTACTGATTGCACTGCTTGTCATTTAAACGCAGGCCTCTATGCTCCACTTGTCCATATGATTTAGAAATGCAGCCCAACCAAGCCAAGTACATATGCATTTGTTCTGAGCCCCGTGGTCTCTTTTGGGGGTCATTCTGTTCTAGGCACAGTCCGGGTTGCCACCGGCATCCTAACAAACCTGTCTAGAACCTAAGAAATGGTGTGGGGCATGGGCCGGAGGCCCTGGCCTCCCTCGGCGGGCGGGCAGAGAGCATGGCGGCTGCAGTGCTGCCTCTGCCTCAGGGCGGGTTACCAGACGGCTCCCTGCCCTCTCTAGGCAAAATGCTAAAGAGGTAGAGCCATCCCTGTGCCTGTCTCTCACTGTGTGAGCAAACAAAGGGAGCCTCTCTGAGGTCGCTCTTCCTGGGGAAAGACTGCAGGGCCCTACTGGCCTACCTCCCAGGCCAGGTTGCATCGCGCAGGGCAGCGCATGCGCTTGCGCAAGCCATGGCGCGGGGGAAGAGGCCCAGCGCGCCTGCGCCTGCGCCTGCATGAGCTCGCCCGCGCCTGCGCAAAGCCCGACTTCCCGCCCATTTTCGGACCTGGGCCGGTTTAGACCGCTGCTGGCTGGACTCGACTGACTGACTGGCTGTTGGCTGAGGTGAGGGGACCTGTGGTGGAAGTTTGTTGGTGCCTTTCGCAAAGGCTCGAAGAAGGGAAAGGCTTTTCCTTGCCTTATTTTCCTTGTCCCCAACTCCTGGGTGGGTCAAGGTACGCTTTAACCTGTTTCCCAGAGCACAAGGCCCGAGCAGGCCGCGCGTCCTCCATCTTGGTGGGCCGTCGTGTGGGCCAGCCAGCACCTCTCTGCGCCTCAGTGACTCAGATCCATTACTAAGTCGGATGGGCCTGGTGGGAAGCCCCAGTGGGGAGCACTTAAAGGGATGCACTTTAAATCTGGCTTTGTCTTGCATGTGTGATAAGTCGGTCCTCATAGGTTCAGGGTGTGAACTGCGTTTATGGAGAGGACAAAACGAGGTTTTACTTCTTAGAACAGAACTATTTTAATTTATGTTACTTTTGATAAAGTGCCCCTTCCATCCTGCTAAAAGTTTAAGACAAAAACAAAGTGGAGGTATTCCCCGACCTTTTTATTTTTATAAATCATATTTAGAAGTTAAAAGTAGCTCAGGTTGAGTTGTATTATTATGTTTACCTGTTCCATTATGTAGTGGACTTGGGAGAGAAATTATTTTATTTAAGCTCAGAGCTGGTAGCTCACACCTGTAATCCTCACTACTCAGGAAGCTGAGATCTGAGGATCAGGGTTAGACACTAGCCAGGGTGTAAAGTCCATGACTTTTGTGTCTAGTTAACCACAAAAAACACAAGTGGAGATGTAGTTCAAGTGGTAGAGCACCAGCCTTGAATGAAATAGCCAAAGGACAGTACCAGGTCCTGAGTTCAGGTCCCTGTAGTGGCACAAAAAAAAAAAAAGAAAAGAATTTACCTTATTTAAAATAGCTTTCAGCTTGCCATTTCATGCAATGGACAAGTGTTTGATGAATTAGATTGGGAATAAAATATATTAGGAGGCTGAATATGGAAAAAATTTACAACAGGAAATATTTTAAAATATTTTTTATTAAGTAGTTGTTCCCATTCTACAAAACAGTATATGAATACAAGGTGTCTGACAACATTGTCACCCATCACCCCTAACCTGTCCCTTCTCTCACTTTTTTTTTAAATTTGAGATTAGGTGATTACATAAATTTCATATATTTCACAGTATTGTGGAATAGTGATAAAGTCACAAACCTTTTAACCTTCACAAGGCACATTGTCATTATCATGGTCTATACAGTTTGTGAATTCTATGAGCTTTGACAATACAACTTATTTTTCCACATCAGGTTATGTTTACATTTCTTTCCTTAGTGTAGGCTGTTCCTTCTTTCCCTCTCATTCCTTCCTTCCCATCACTGTCTTTGGGTTACTTAGTTCTTTTTCTTTTATGTCTAGTGCACTGATGGGCCTCTTGGTTGTATGTTGTTCCGTTTCCCACTTATTCTGTGTTCTCCTTCTGTCTTCTGTCTGTTGTGTGCATATATCTACCATATATATGGTCAAGAACATGGAGTCATTTAGCAATGATATGACAAAATGAGTGGCTGTCCTTTGTTTCTAGAGTCCTGTTTACTTTTTCATATCTTCCTGCATTTTGGCTTTAGCATCCACATATCAGGGAGACCAAGTGCCATTTGTCTCTCTGTACGACAGAAAATATTGAAAAGTAAAAACTTGTTTCACTTAGTTGAACTGTAGAAACTGAATGGAAACTTACTATGCTGTACATAGTCTGTTTTTCTCTTTATGAATCTGGTTCATAATTCTCATGGTTCTTGATGCTGAAATTCTGTACATGTGTGAAAATCCATGTATATTTAGGAAGCATGATTAAAGTCACTCCAGTCATAATTTTTTAAGAGCTGGAAAAAATACTGTAAATATTCTGAAAATAAAGAACTCCCTGAAATCTTTATATTATCAAAATAGTGCCAAGCCATAATTTCTGTTATTAGTAGGAGGAGAAATTATTTTGTTGTTGACCTTATTGATGAATTTCCAAGTTTCTTTGAAGGCTTAATCAAACAACTTCATTTTGTAGATTTGGGATGCTGAGAAAATATTTATAGATTTTGATACTGAAGAAAATGAAGAGAAACCTAAATGAAAATTCAACTCGAAGTACAGCAGGTATTGAACAATTTTATTTGAGAAGTTTCTATATTTTGCATATGCCACTTAAACCTTGTATAGTTGAGATGGAACATTTTGAAAGAAACTTTCAAAAAGATTAAACATTAAATGTATATTCTGTTCTTTTTAGATCCAGGGAGAAAAAAATAGCTTATTCAAGGCAAATATTTAGTAACAGAGATAGGAATAAAATGCGTTTAGGTTTATTATATTGATCTATCTATAAAACTTATGTGATTGAATTCTTTTAAGCTTTTATGCTTCTAAGCTGCACACAAAGAAACAGATGTTTTTATTTGTGTTTGTAATTGACTTGTTAAAAATGTTTACAGAATTACTTCTGTCTCCTAATAGTTTGTGCCATTTTTGTTTCCTCAATTTAATAGTATAAGGACACAGGGCAAGATGATGAGGACCAGGCAAGTAATTCTAATACACAATGAAGTTTGTAACTATTTTTTATGGTAGATATAATGTATTCTAGACATTTAAACATAAGAATCAGTGCATTTAATTCTTATACTAACTTTTTAAGATAGTTTTCTTTTTTTGCTGGTTGTGGGGCCTGAGCTCTGGGCTTGGGTGCTGGCCCTCAGCTCTTCAGCTCAAGGCTAGCTCTCTACTACTTGAGCCACAGTGCCACTTCTGGCTTTTTCTGCTTATATGGTGCTGAGGAATCGAACCCAGGGCCTCATGCATGAAAGGCAAGTACTCTACCACTGAGCCACCTTCCCAGCCCCTAAGATAGTTTTAATTATTCCTGCTTTCTAGATAAGAAATCAAGGAATAAAGAGTTTAAATAACTAATTTATTAAGTGGCAGAAACAGAATTTGAATTTAGGAATATGGCTCTAGAGTCCATGCTATTAATCATTATCTTATTTTGCTTTTCTGTATTTGTTCCACATATGTATTTTGAAGTCATAATTAAAACCCAGTCAGCCTGACTCGAGATAATTCTCCTAGCCTTTCATCAGGGAGTTTGCAGTGTCAGTATCCTCCTGCACTGTAGTGATGACTTCAACGATTTGCATTCAAGCAATGGAAAGCTTTTTGGATCTCTTTTTCTTTTGAGTTCCCTTATAGTTTTTAAAGTCTATTAATTCTAGTTTTGGCCTAACTTGTGATCCTACTTTTCACATGAAGAAAGTGGAGTTTGTGTGTGTGTGTGTGTGTGTATACATACACACACATTTATATATTTATATATATACACATATACACATACACATATGCATATATACACATATACATACATATACATGTATATATACATATATACATACACATACGCATATATACATATACACATACATATATATGCATATATGTATATCTGTGTGTATATGTATATACATATATGCAATATATGTGCATATTGTTTTAATTATGTTCTAATTATCTGCTATATATATATATACATACAAACAAATATATATGTTATTATGATTTTTTGGGGAGTTGATTATGGGGCTTGAACTCTGGGGCTGGGTGCTGTCCCTGAGCTCTTCAGTTCAAGGCTAGTGATCTACCACTTTGAGCCACAGCACCACTTCTGGTTTTCTGGTGGTTAATTGGAGATAAGAGTCTCACAGACTTTGCTGCCCCAGCTTGCTTTGAACTGCAATCCTTAGATTTCAGCCTTCTCAGTAGCTAGGATTACAGGTGTGAGCCACCAGCACCTGGCCATGTATTTTTATATTGTCATTCTCCAAAGTATTCAGAATGGTCTGTAGAAAAATACCATAATCCATACCTGGAGTGCTTATTAAAATTGAAGAGTTTTGGGTTTTAGACAAAATATGGTGCAATATAGTTTATAAAAATGAGTTTATATATGCTGGGCACCTGTGGCTCACGCCTGTAATCCTAGCTACTCAGTAGGCTGAGATCTGAGGATCACAGTTCAAAGCCAGCCTAGGCAGGAAAGTCCATGAGACTCCTTTTTTTTTTTTTTTTGCCAGTCCTGGGGCCTGAACTCTGGACCTGGGTGCTATCCCTCAGCTCTTCAGCTCAAGGTTAGTGCTCTTCCACTTGAGCCACAGTGTCACTTCTGGCCTTTTCTGTTTATGTGGTGCTGAGGAATTGAACCCAGGGCCTCATGTATGCAAGGCAAGCACTCTACCACTGAGCCACCTTCCCAGCCCCAATGAGACTCTTTATCTTCAATAAACAGAAGTAGCACTGTGGCTCAAGTAGTAGAGCACTAGCCTTGAGCTGAAGAGCTCAGGGACAGAGCCCAGGCCCCAGGACTGGCAAAAAAAAAAAAAAAGAAAAAAAGGAAGAAAAAAAAGAATGAGTTTATAGTTTTGGAACTGAAATGATAATTAGCATTCCAAATCAAATCTTAGTCAAACTAAACTTTTGATAACTGTGGCCCTAAAGATTGGTTTTTATGGTCCAAATAATGGTTAAGTTTTTAGAAATCACGGCTCATGCTTTGGTTTCTCTTCACCTTTGTTATAACCTACAGGTTATCTGCAGTTGATAATAGGTAAGCACAGGAGGGAAAAGAAAACAGAAGTTGTATGGAGGGGAAGAAAAACAGAAGTTGTATTTGGGAAGTATTAGGAGATGAGAACAGAGATGAGAAATTAAAGCAAAATGATGTTATGTAAGTTTTTAAAAATAATATAAAATTAAGGATATAAAATATATAATAGCTATAATGTACCTATTGACCTATAGAAGTAGAGATTCAAATTGCATGTTATGTAAGCTACACATTATTTTATAGTAATTATTTTGTAAGTTCAAATTGTTTATCTGCTATATACTACTTTATTGGTACATTTTATGTAGGCTGTTTGCAGGTACCATTGTTCAATCAGAAAAAGAGAAACAGACAACCATTAACTTCTAATCCGCTGAAAAATGATCCAGGTATTGGTATTGCTTCTGAAAGTTATGATTGCCCTCCTGTACCAACAGGTAAGAAAATGAGCAAAGTAAAAATTTGCAGAAAACAAGAACTCAGAAGTAACTTTATGTATGTTTGTATGTATATATGTATGTATATATGTATACTTGTACTAAGGCTTGAATTGAGAGTGGCGGAAGTTGCACTTGTTTGCCTTGCTTGGTCATAGCTGGCATTCTGCCCTTAGAGCCACACCTTCAGCCCAGATTTTTGCTGGTTAATTAGAGATGGTGTCTTAGGGATTTTTTCTGTCTAGACTGACTTTGATTGTTCTGGTCTCAGCCTTCTAAATAGGCAGGATTATAAGCATGGCACCCAGCTCAGATTTTTATTTCTTCTTTTCATTCCCCAAGTATGAACATTCCAGCACAAGAGTTTTTCTTCTTCAAAACACATATAGACATTGTGACTTATGTATGTGGTAGCAAACAATGGAAAGATTCAAGTTGCTTTAGGAACAGGGAAAAGTATGTGTAGAATGTAGGAAAGATGGGAAAGGACTAGAAAGTTTTGATGCTTAGTCTTTTTTTTCTTAACAGCATTTTGCCTTTCTTCATTTGTTAGCCCTTTACTCCGTTATTGTCTGAAATTTCATGTTGATTTTAGCATTAAGAGGATTAAGTCACATGGCCTCTGTTCTTAGCCATGGACTAGTGACCTTATTAAAGAAGTGTGAGGGAGGGGCTGATAGTATGGCCCCAAAGATAGAACACTGGTCTAGCAAGCTTGAGTCTCTGAGTTTAAAATACAAGTACCACTTAAAAAAGGAGAGAACAAGCTTTCACCAGATATGAAACATTTTTGCCACCCTAACCTGGAAGTTCTCGGTTCCCATAACTGTAAGAAATACATTTATATTATTTATAAATAACCCAGTCTAAGGTGTTTTGTTCCAGCAACCCAATGGGACTGAGATTCTCTCATTCAGTTTGCTGCTTGCTTGTAGCTTCAGCTTATACACAAACTAAGTTGCTATTGTGGGGGTTTATATTGTCTAGTTCTACTTCTCAGAGGTCATGGGTTTACTACATTTTTAAAAAACAATAAACACCTTTATTACATGAGCTAAGCATGGTAGGTGACTTTATTTGCCTTTCCAGGCCTTGATCTTCCTCTGATACAATTCCAGCTCCTTACCTTCCGTCTGCTCGGCCACACTGGCCTGGTCTGGATGGAATGCAGGCAAGAAGCTTCCAAGACTGCTGTTTTGGGCATTCTTTTTCCTTTATCATATTTCTTTTGAATTTTCTTGTTTTTTGTTTAAAATCTCTTCCTCTTCAGGAGTCAGTTTGGTCCCCTTCTTGTGGCCCAGGGGCAGTGCATAGCGGGATTCATACCACGGTTGGGAAGGTATGCTGTCAATAGCACAGTGCAGTTCTTCACTAGGGTTTTGGTGCAGACCAGCTCGTTATTGGATGCATAGTAGACGACATCAATGAACCTTGTTTTAACAGTATAACACTCAGAGCCCCAGGAAAAGTTGCCCACATCCAGCCTCAGAGCATGGTATTTCTTGTTGCCACCTCGAACTCGGACTGTGTGTATGTGATGGGGCCCTATCTTAGTGTTGGCAGCAGGGCATCCCAGCTTATACTTCTGCTTGTTATGATAGGGCTTCCTTTTACCCCCGTTTTTGCGGTGCTTGTGCCAGTTATCCCGAGAGATGCCCATCACTTGGCGCTGGCTGGAAACAGGTTTACTGCATTTTAAAAACCTCTTGATTAAGTTATGGGGACAGGGAGCCTCTGATTAATAACATCTTTTAAGTGAGACTACTAACATCCTATTATTTAACACATAAATCTGTTTTTAGCCAGTGCCAGTGGCTCACGCCTGTACTCCTAGCTACTCAGGAGTCTGAAATCTGAGGATCACAATTCAAAGCCAGCCCCAGCAGGAAAGTCTAAGAATCTTATCTCCAATTAACCACCAAAAAGCCAAAGTGGAGCTGTGGCTCAAGTGGTAGAGAGATAGCCTTGATCAAAAAAGCTTAGGAAGCGTGCCCAAGCCCTGAGTTCAAGCCCCTGGACCAGCACAAAAATAAAGTTTAAAAGAAGTCATAGGTACATTTTAAATGTGTAGTTTTATTTGTCTGTTAATAGTTCTAGGTGTGTATCTGAAATTAAAGTATATATAACCAGCACATACCAGACATATTTCAGAATGTTGTCCTTCTTCCATAGAGAAGTAAAAAGTCAGCAAACATTAAAGAGCTGACCACTACAGCTAACTATGTTGAAGACAAACTGTATAACCTGGTGGGGGGGGGAGAGTTGGGGACATGGGGAAGACAGGAATAGTAGGGGGAAAACAATGGAGGGGATAACAATGCTCGATAGGAAATGTATTCATTACCTTACTCATGGAACTGTAACCCCTCTGTATAGTATCTTTACAATAAAAATTTAAAAAAAAAACATGTTTGGAAAAAAAACCATGTAAGGAAAAGTGCATCTTTCTGCTCTTCCAGTTCTGATCAAGATTACTGTTTATCAGAGATCTAAATTCTTGTAATAGATAAGAAAGCATTATATAAGTGTTTTTTTAATTGTCTGTTTCATTACTTGGGCTGGGATATAATCTATAAAAAGTAATAGAAGAGCATACAGTAGAATAGACTATGAAAATATTACTGTACATTATATAGTATTAGGTTTAGCGGTGAAATTCGGTTCCACTCTCGCCATCTTTGTCTTCTACACATCCTGCATGTATCTGCTGTCTGTTATGATGTGCTTCTTACTGTTGAGTGGAACTAAAATTTTTAACAAACATTGGGTCAAACTAAATCTATGTTATAAAATATAAGATCCTTTATAAAAATTGGTTGTGGAAAGCATACAGATTAAACTATTAAAAATACAGTGAGGGAAGAAAGACACATAAAAATTAGTTAGGCTGTGATTAAATCTGCAACAGAGTACTATTGAAGTTTTTTTCTCCTAATTTTTAAACCTCCCAAATTAAATGATATGAAGTGGTTATTTTGAAAAATGCTGCCTATCTTACTTTTATTTGTGTTCTTATACTTTTGAGATTGGGCCTGGGAAGCTGTGACTCCAGAATTAGCTCATTTAAAGGACACAATGAACCCAGGGTATGTGAAAAAAATATAAACCAATAAATGTTTGTCTGTTACTAGCTGATGTTAGTCTTCCGTGTATATTTTACATTATCAGTTTGAAAAAAGATGCTTAACAACTCATTTCATTGAAAGGCCAACATCACCTTCAGTTTCTTGTCCTCTGAGAAGTGAAGATTCAATGTCTAAATATGTTCAGTCATATACTGAAAGAAACACAAGTGATTGGAGGTGAGTCTACTTAAATATTTTTTCAACTTTTCTCTTTCCTATCCTTCTCTTGGGGAAATTTCTACATTAATACCTATGGATTCTGAAACGATGTACACCTCATGTATACTTTATATCATGCCTAGATTACATATAATGGATAATGTAAATGCCTTGAGGAAGATGCTGCTTCCTTCTCTCTTTGGGAGCTACTGCGAATTAGGCTTCATGGTTTAATAGGGGAGTTGAAGACATGACTGAATTGGATTATGTGTTTTGGGCACACTAGAGAGGCAATCAGGCTGTAGTTCTTCAGGGCTAATCTCCAGGCTGTGGAAACACCTCGGGAGGAAGTTTTAGTTTCATGATTAACCACTAAATAATTGTGAAGCTTAAAGAAACATTTCTGCCTATAAATGCTGCTTTTAGTAGCCACAAGAGAGGAAGAACAATTGCATTTCTGTTCTCTGTATTGAAAATAAAGTTCCAAATTATCATATAAAGAGATAGTAGAAAAATGTCTTCAAGCCAGGCACTGGTGGCTCATGCCTGTAATCCTAGCTACTCAGGAGGTTGAGATCTGAGGATTACAGTTCAAAGGCAGCCCAGGCAGGAAAGTCCGTGAAACTCTTATCTCCAATAAACCACCAGAAAACCTGAAGTGGCGCTGTAGCTCAAGTGGTAGAGCATTAGCCTTGAGCTGAAGGGCTGAGGGACAGCATTCAGGCCTAGAGTTCAAGGCCCACGACTGACAACAAAACAAAAAAGTCTTCATAGAGGTATATTAGGCGATTAATAATTCTAATATTTTTCCTGGATATTATGATATTTGTAGTATTTTTATAATCTAAAAGTTTTTGTCATTGTGATTTGCACTTGTTATTTAATTTTGTATTTAACAAAATTTTCCGGTTAATACAAGCTTCAGATACCATAAGGCATTTGTGGGGGATTATTTTCTTAAATATGAACTCCCTTTTGGTGGATTATTTTCTTAATTAAGGGATGAGTTTATTGTTTTCTTGCAGTATTTCCTGGAAAATTACTCAACTGTGACTTGAGGGAGTTTCTCCTTGTGCACCTAGAAAATATAGTTAGATTTTGGCTTCATTGAAGAGTTCCATGTTCTGATAAGCTGATACTAAGATTAACGTAGCAAAAAAGTGCTGTGACAGACTGAATAGTAGTATTTCTTAGCTATATAGTAAAAGCACAAAATATCTAATCAAATAGCTATCTAGTCTGCCTATATTTTTCATGTGATTTATATAATAGTTAAAATTTAATTTTTTTACTTTGTAGAAAACTGAAAATGTATAAAGAATTAAGCAAAAGTCCTCTTTCCACTTGAAGATAACCACTGTCATATGGAGGCTAGAATAGTTTAAAAATATACTTTGCAGCACTGTATTATGAATTGAGACACTAGTTTTCTGAGATCTGGATTTGTCAATAACTTGCTGTTTTACTTCGGCAAGTTATTTCTTCCCTGATTCTACCTTTTCATTTGGAAAGAGGTAATGATTTATTGTGAGGTTGTTGAGGTATTATGATTGGATTTTGTAATTAGTAGTTATAAATCAGAAATAGTAATAAATTACAAATTTTTATTTAAATAAAAAAATTAAATCAAATGTCATTTTAGAAAAGCTTATATAAATACATTTTTATTATTATAGCTACAGAGATGATGACAAAAATACCAGCTTGCATACTTGGGATGCAAATTATTTTAGACCTCAATTTAAAAAAAATGTGATGGCAAAGGATACATTCAGTTCTTGTCCAGTGAGTTTGGGAACTCAACCACAAAAGCAATTAAGAATATCTGAACCTTCTAATTTATCTGGTCACAAAGAAACTGAGATCCTCAGACAAACAAGCTTCTCAAAAATGTCTGGTACCACAAAAAAAGGCTTGGATAAGAACAGCAGATTGCAGGCATTTAAGCCTAATTTTCAACAAAATCAATTTAAGAAAAAAACCTTGGATGATATTTCAGAAGAAAACACTCTGAAGGTAAACATTTAAATTTAATACATGACTTCAAAAACATTAGGTAAATACTTAGAAAGTTATAAAAAAATAATTTGAAATCCTATGGCATATGTTGATTAGTACAAATATGCAATTCCATTGGAGTAGATGAGTGTTAGTTTTCAAAATAATGTCATAAGGGATGTGATTGGAGGCTCCTTTCTGTCTGTTTGTCTGGTTCCAGAACTTGGACTTCAGGTCATGCTTACTCAACTTTTGCATTCACTGATTCATTCACTTTCTCTGCCTGGAGCTACACCTCCAGCCTGGGCTTTTTGCTGGTTAGTTGGAGATAAGAGTCTTTGGACTTTTGTGCATTGGCTAGTTTCTAGCCCAGATCTGACTGTCCTCCAGATCTCAGCTCCTTGTGTAGCTAGGATTATAGGAATAAGCCACTGAGAGAATCAGCTGGATGCTCTTTTCAGTAGTTGCTTTAGAGGTTTTATTTTTCTTTCTTTCTTTTTTTGGTGCCAGTCATGGGGCTTGAACTGTGCACTGTCCTTAAGCTTTTGTGTTTAAAGTTAGCACTCAACCAGTGAAAACCACAGCTCCACTTCCAGCTGTTTTAGTAGTTAGTTGGAGATAAGAATCTCTTGGGCCTCCTTCCCAGGCTGCCTTTGAACTGTGATCCTTTGATCTGAGCTTTCTGAATACTAGGATTACAGGCATAAGCCAACAGCACTAGCTTGCTTTAGAGTTTTTTTTTCTGGATTCAGGCTTTCACTGCTTAATTATTAAGACAATAAATTTACCCAACCTCTTATTGTAAGTTTTTTTCTTAACAGATCAGAGCCAGGTAGTATTTTGTACTTAATTAGTAATGTTGTCTCATATATATATATATATGTATGTATGTATATATGTATATGCATATATATACACACACATATACACACACTCAGCTACACCAATTAACTCTGCCATTGTAGTTTGAAATTAGCTATAGACAATACATAAATGAATGAGTATGGCCATGTTGTAATAAAGTTCGCAAAAACAGATGTCAGGTAGATTTGGAGTGTAGGCAATAGTTTACTGATTTCTGCTTTGTAGTCTGCTCTTATTCTGCATTTATAGCTCATATTCCACACTCTACTATTTTTTTCCAATTTTCTAGTCATTCTGGACTTCACAATTCTCTAAAGATGGAATGTGCTCTAATACCTCTGCTTTGGTTTATATTCTTCTTACCTCACTCTGTGCACAGTGCTAATTGTTCTTTGTAAATATTTGTACACTTTATATGTATTGGTTAGTCTCTCCCCTTCCTCACCTTCTGGCACAGTAGATTCTTCACTCACTCGTTGTGCTCTGGAATGATGATTCATAGCTCATCATGATGGGACTTCTTATTTGCTAGCCTCAGCTGGTGGAAATCACTAGGAGAATATCAAATGACTATGTCACTGCATGACATAATTTCTCTATGAGTATAGATTTTCTTGGCTTAGTAATTTGACTTCCATTGTCCTTTCAACATAGGAGTGATAACAGCTTCTTACCTGCTTCTGTCTGGGTTCTTAAATATCCTTTGTTTGTTCTGTCTCTATGCCTGTTTAGGATAAATTATGTTTTTCTTTTTTTCTGGTAACATGATCAATATAGCATATTTTCCAGTAGTTCTTAGCTTTATGTCCTCTTGTGCATAAAATGACATTGTCACCTTAGTAACAATGGCTCACTATGGCAATAATCTTCAAAAGGAGACATTTTAGAATTTGGGTTAGTATTAGAACAAGGGAGGAAGTATTTGTACTTGAAAAAAAAGTTCCATCAGGTGTTTCTTACAACCCTTATCCTCACAAAGAAAATCATCAGTATCTTACACTGTGTTCTTTCTTTTTGTTGTTATTGAGGTTTGAACTCAGGCTATTATGCTTGCTAAGCAAGCACTGTGCCACTTGGGCCATGAAACCTGGACTTTTTATTTTTAGTTTATTTTTTAGATAGGATTTCACAATTGCCCACAATCTTCTTACCTGTGTCCCCTCAGCTGGAATTTTAGGTGTGTTCCACCAAGGTCCAATTTGGTTTTGTTTTTTAGCAATAGTGGGGATTGAACTCAGGGTTCATGCTTCCTTGGCAGCCATTCTATCACTTGAGCTATGCCTCCACCCCTTTTTCAGTTTGGTTGTCAAGGTAGTTTCTGAGCTGTGATCTTTCTACTTGTGCTTCCATCTGTGGCTGGGATAATAGACTCATGCCATTGTGCCTAGCCATTGGTTGAAATGGAATCTCACAAACTTTTATGCCTGGGCTGGCCTTAAACTGCGATCCTCATAGCTCCACCTCCCAAGTAGCTTGGATTATAGGTTTGGGCTACTGCATGCAGAAATAGCTTTTTTTTTTTTTTTTTTCGGTTGTGGGGCTTAAACTCTGGGCCTAGGTCCTATCCCTCATCTCTTCAGCTCAAGGCTAGTACTCTACCACTTGAGCCACTTCCAGTTTTCTGGTGGTTTATTGGAGACAGAGGAGTCTCACGGACTTTCTTGCCCGGGCTGGCTTGAACCATGATCCTCAGATTTCAGCCTCCTGAGTAGCTAGGAATACAGGCATGAGCCACTGGTGCCCGGCTTTGTTTTTTTTATATAGTCTTACTGTGGTCTTTCTTTTTTTTTTTTTTAAATCTGGCCAGGCTTTTCTATTTGCCACATAGTTGGGATTACAGACATGTATGACCATTCTTCTTACACTATTAGTTAATCTTCAGAGATACAAAGCAAATTTGTATCTCAGGGCCCTTAACATTTCTCTGTTACCATATAACCATTTAAAATATTAATCTCAATCCTTCTTTTTTCTTGTTTTTTAAAAAATGTATAAGATATACCTATTCTTCGTGTTGTTTTATATATTTATTTATGAATTGCATTTTAGACTGTTAAGTCATGTGAGGACAAGTATTATGTCTATTTTGTGCTCTGTTTTCAGTAGAACCTGTGTTTCAGATGGAATAGATGGTCCAACTGCTTTTCGATTTTTATTAGTATTAAAATTTTATGAAAGTGTTTTATTACTACTTTTTCATATATGTATGTAAATTAATTTGATTGTACTTACCTCTTCAGCCTTACACTTGTACCTTTTTGCCTCTCATTGATCACCTTTTTAAAAAATTTCTTTATTGAGATTAAGTGATTATATAAATTTCACAATTTTGTGGGAAAGTGATACTTAGCTAAAGTCACAAACACATTTTACCTTCACAAGGCAAATTGTCATTATCATGATCTATAAAGCTTGTGAACTCTACAAACTTTGACAATACAACTATGTCTTCCAAATTGGGTGATATGTACATTTCTTTCCTTTTGCTTAGTGTAAGCTGTTACTTCTTTCTCTCTCATTCCCTCTATCCCATTGCTGCTCTTGAGTTACTTAGTTTACTTTCATCAGTGTCCAGTGCAGCTGATAGACCCCTCTGCTGTATTTCATCACCGTTTCCTTCTGATTCTGTGCCCTCCTGGCTTCCCTCATATGTGCACATGTATATATTTGTCACCTTCTTATTCCCTAATAATTTCTCTTCTACTCTCAAGAATTTTTCTTTTAGATTCCAGAAAACACCTTTGAAATGAATGAATAATGTGTCTGGCTCCTCTCCTAGAATGTGAGAACTTTAAGGAAAGAACTTGTCTTATTTATGTCTGTATGATGTTTATTCAATGAATGAATGTGAATGAGTAGATGAATAATACATAATTTTTGCTTTCTTGATTGTCTTCAAATGCATCTTGATTTTCCTTCTACTATGTTATAGTAATGACATTAATAAATGAATAATTTTTCTAATGTACTTTTTTTTCCAAAAGAAAACTCCTTTGCATCAGTTACAGTATGAGGCTAAAAACAGTTCTTTAAGAATTATTTCTGCAGTTATTGAAAGCATGAAATACTGGCGCAAACATACACAGAAATCTGTACTACTTTTTGAATTATTAGGTAAGTATAATACTTCAAAAATACATCACTAATACTATTTGGACAGCAGTTTTAAATATCAACAGGAATCCGTAGGGGATTATGAAAAAATTTTACAAAAGGAGATTATGGTTTATTGGAATTTTCTTCTTTGGGGTCATTTATTTGTGTGAATTAAGTAATTGGTAACTGATAGTGTAGTATTCTTCTGATTCATAATGCTGACATTAGATAGACTCTTGCAAGTAATTAGAAACTTTGAGTTATATGAGGAAATAGGGCAAATTATTAAAATAGTTTTGACTAAAATCATAAAGTTAGCAGCTGAGTAGATTTAGAATCCGTGTCTCCTTGGAACTGGACACATGACTCAAATGTTAAGGCAGCAGCCGCAGAGTGGGAGACCCTGAGTTCAAGCTGCCATTACTGGTGCATGTGTGCACATACATGCACTTGAACACACACACACACACACACACACAAGAATCCAAGTCTTCTTAATCTTAATCTAGTGCACTTTCTACTACATTACTTATTTTTGTACAGAAGTTAACTAATATTTAAATACTCTAAAAGAACATTTTAAGAATAATACAAGAATACTTTTGCTAACTTAATATTTTAAGAGAATTTTGTATATTTTTAGAATTAAATTTTTCTTAGAAGGGAAAAAATAATAGAAGTAATGTTTAGGGATTAGGAGAATGATTGATTTAAAGGGGTGAATTGATCAAGATTCATTGTACTCATTCATTGTACTCATTGAATTTGTACAACTACTTGAGGATAATAAATTTAAAAATGTTAAAAAATCAAAATACTTTTTAGTTAAAATTAATAATAAATTATGAAATAATCTCACAGAAAGAGACTATCATAAATATCCATATGATCATGTAGTAGTACAGGTATATTTAAAGCTCCTTTATGATTGTCATTTTAGAAATAACTCCTGAAGTATTTTCCTGGCCATGCTTTTATAAGTTATCATATTATCTGGATCCATACATTTATTTATATCATATGTAGAAAGAGCTTGCATTTTCAAGTAATGATTTCACATTTGAAATCTATTTTGTTATATACCCTACATTTACACAATAAAATACAATTAAGAAATCAACTGATCTGAAGTTCTAAAATGTTAGTAAGCTGAAGACTAGGGCTGTAATAGTAATTCGGTAATTTTTAAAAATTAAATTATGATGCCCATTTATTATAATGTATTTTATTGATAATGTAATACACTGCTGTGGAGATTTAGACACTCTAGAAAACATATTCTGAGGAAAAACTTTAGATGGCCACAATTTTTTTTTTTTTGGTCTACTGCGGGTCTTGAACTTCTGGGCCAGAGCGCTGACCCTGCACTCTTCAGCTAAAGGCTAGTGCTCTCCCACTTGAGCTACAGTGCCACTTCTGGTTTTCTGGTGGTTTATTGGAGATGAGTCTCATGGCCTTTCCTGCCTAGGCTGACTTTGAACCATGATCCTCAGATCTCAGCCTCCTGAGTAGCTAGGATTGCAGTCATGAGCCACTGACACCCAGCTAAACACCTATTTTTAATTATATAGACTTGTATATAATGCTTAAAAGGGCTAGAAACATTTTTTATACAAAATAGTTCTACAATACATTTCTTAAAATATCTTTATTACCGTGTAAGTAGAATTGTGAGAGGTTGATGTGGGAACAATTAATATCTACTTCTAGAAACACAAAGGCTCAATGCTTATATGCATCTGATCATATAAAATAATATTTATGGGGTTGGGATGTAGCTCAGTGGCAAAGCGCTTGCCTAGCAAGTGCAATGTCCTGGGTTCAATCCCCAGTACCAAAAAAGAAAAGACAAAAAAATATCCCCACAGCTGGTTAATTACAGTGCTGTAATTAATTCTAAGTCTTCTGCCTCTAAAATAATATTTATCAAAATGAACTCCAGGAAATGGAAAGAAGAGGTTTTTCTTTTTTCCCTTTCCCTTTGGAATTTTATTTTTTTTTAATTGTGAAAATACTGTACAGAGGGGTTACAATTACATGGGCAAGATAATGAGTACATTTCTTATCAAGCATTGTAGCCTCCTCCTTTGGTTCCTCTTCC